CTTCAAATGAGCACCCCCTCCAAATAAGCGACCCTCTTACAGGCCAAAATTTAAAATGGGTGCCCCATCTCACATAAGCAGCCCTCCCCTTCTCCCATTTGGTGGACGAGCAATGACTCAACAAAGGATGTACAGGTTTTGATGTGTAGTATTAGATTTGTACATTATTTCAGTTTGTGAACATGTTAAGTTGGAAAAAAAAATACAAGTGCTAATGGTGCCGTGATTTAAACTTTAGGATCAGCTTTTTATGTCGATAAACAGCTTCTGTTGTTGTTACCGTGCAGATGATGTATTTAAAAAATGATCATGTCAGGCCACAATTTGTGAATAATTAAATAGGCGCCCTCTCTCGATTGAGTGACCCCTTGAAAAAAAAGCACCCCAGTCTTCTCCTAAATCTGAAATAAGTGTCCCAGGCACTAATTCAAGGATTTACGGTACGTACATAAATTTGGCTGCCAAATTATACAAAGATAGATATCACTGACTAACCAATAATAACAATCAGTTTCAAGGACCAGGAACAAAACCATTAACTGACAAACCTTTTTTTGTTTTTTCACTTGATTCTGAATAGGACTACAGTCGAGTCATTAATACCAGTCATTGAAAAATGAAAATTCATTGTAAAACGTGAAAAACATAAAAAACAGTCAGAGGTTTGAGTGGGTCTGGTCAGCAATTCACCAGACGTTCCCCGATGACATTATTTGTTGATGCAATCTGAATAACTAGCCAGAATGAACAGGTTTCAAATGCCTTGTGTTCACTTTTCAATGTAATAATAATTTTGAACACTTAAATGAGACCAAAATAAAAAAAAATTAATTCAATCTATGAAGACAAACGTATTCAAAAAAATTTGAGGCACATAAAATCAAGTCCATACATTTTGTCTACTTCTTGATTTTTCTCGACAAAATGTCTGCAGACCTGATTGGGAAGCAGTCACATGATTGAGTTGTACAAATGGTTTCATGGCTACAGCAGGATGTAGCAGGTTGACATAATGTCTTAAATTATTTTGTTATGAAAATAACCATGACAAACCTCTTTGGCCAGGCGAAGAGACATTCCCTCCAGCTGGGCACTCTCTTGCAAAGTGTCCTTCTTCTCCACAAGTCCGACAACTTTTGTCCAAAACTGCAAAGGTGATGGCTTGCAGTCATTAATCAATCACTTAACTACCCCATGTGATTCACATTTTGCAACACAAAGCAAAAATATGGTTACCTTGCTAACAGCTGTAAAAATGGAAATTTAGCAAACAAATAAAGACTCTTGTTGTTATAATTAGTTTAAAGAGCTATTTCTCATTCCAAAGGTCAAATGAACAAGTTTTAATCTGCATGGAAACTGTTCCTTTGTTTGGTATAACAACTGTAAGTAGGATAGTAATTTGGTGTACATCCATCTTTTTTGTTATGTGTTGTAATAAATAAATTCATTATTAATAACAATAGTTTAAAGGAGACTTAACAGGTAAGGTGAAAGACCATTCTAGTTATTTCAGGTTGATAATAAGGGAATAACATGACTTTTTGAAGATATCTTGTTTATTTTGGAGCTGAGTGGTGCAGTTTGCACCTGAGTAGTGACCTTAAAAGATCAGTGAGTTAACATTTTTGTAACTAGGGCAAATACTGGTAAACAGAACCTGACATTCAAGCTTGAGGAAAGAAGGGTCAACACTTTTAAAGTGCACCTAACCCCCAAATTTTTTTTCGCTAAAACGAATCTACATGTTATTTGAAATACTTCAGCGAAAACATTTTTGGATTTGGTTAAATCCTCAATTTTCTGTGCCCTGACAAAATCTCGAAAATAGCCCCAAAACACCGCCATTTTGTTTCAGGACCAAGTTTGAGGAGAATGGGTCCAGCGGCTATTGTGACGTCTACCCAGGAAGGTYGAATATCTCACGTCCTCTCATTTCCTTTAGGATGGTGCAATACACATTCGAAAAGTACACAGAAATGCCTTCCAGAAGTGCTCTCGGCTGTTGTAGCAATATCCCAGATCTAAAAAAAGACATACTGTACAATTTACTGGCGATGATCGGTCAACGGTACAATAAAGACATAAATGATGGTTGATTTTGTCGAGCTGAAACAAGCGAACTGAGTCTGTGAGAACCTTTGAAGAACTCTCACTGGAATTTGTTCCGCAGACTTTCAA